CACCATGCCCATGCCTGAGTCATGTTTCCATAGATTCTTCGACGCTAAATGGGTAGTTCTCTAAATTCGGTCCCTTTTAGGGTCCTTTTTTATAAGGGTGCCGTACTATATTGGGACCTAAAAGGGGACCCTAGTTTAGAGAACTACCTCCTAAACCCTAAAGTTCTTCCGTAAGTAGTGTTTACGGTCGAGGGCTTCCTTACCAAACCCTTAACCCTCGACGCACAGACTAGTATAGCAGCATTAAAGTCACAATCCCTATAAAAAGAAACCGACAAAAGCCTGTCTGTAAAACCAGCATCTAGTTAAACAACCTTGTTCAAGACCCTTTTAGGAGACCCTTCACGCCAAACCCTGACACCCTAAACCCTAAACCCAAACCCCTTGCACTGTAGAAAGCTTACAAAGCCAGGTAGCGGGATGCCGAAGCACAGGGTGCCTGGCTAGGGAGGCTGAGCAGAACTCAGCATGTGGCATGTAAGTTGCAGGCTTTTGGGGCTTCGGGCCTCGAGGTTTTGGGTTAGGGTTTGTTTAATCAAGGATTCGAGTTTAGGGTTTTAGGGTTTCATTAGGATTTAGGGCTTCAAGTTTAGGGTTTAGGGTTCCGGGTTCTACCTAAACCCATGGATGAATGTGTCAGGCGCAGGAAAGCTTTGTGAGGCTTGTGAATCAGTGACGTACCTAGAGACTATAGGGCTGTAAGACCTTACGGGGTTTGGGCTTCGGGACTTTGGGATACTTCACTGATGTGTCTATAGCAAGGGATCGATATGGTTGAATCATGTTCACTCATGATGTACCAAGGGTGTCGTCGTGCAAAGCGGCACTGCGCAGGGCTTTGTTTCATTGAGGGACGGACGAACAAACTCAAACCTCAGCATAGCTGGATGGCAATCTCTCTCTGCAGGCGAAGCGCATGTCCACCACATCTCTGGGAACATCGCCAACGCGGCGCAGTAGGCCACCTTTGCCGACAGTTTGGGCCAACGACTCGGGCTGTGATAGTAGCAAGCATAGCTATGAGGATGACAAACGCTGCCGCTGCTGTCGCTGCTGCTGCTGCTGCTGCAGATTACTTGCTACTACTGCTTCTGCTGATGATGCTGCTGCTGCCACTGCTGCTGCTGCCGCTACTGATACTGAGAGTTTTCTCGATGCTGCTGCCGCTGCTGTGCTACCGACATCGAGCCACTAGCTGTCCTAGGAATCCGAACAGCCATGCCAATAGTATGTTTTCTTCTCAGACGCAAGTGGGTCGACAAACGGAACAGACGAAGAATTATCTGAATACCAGATTCTGCTGCCGCTGTTTTTGCACACTGCTTCTTGTACACCTCGCCAACAACATTGGCGACTTTCCCTGCCCTGACCTCCTACACAGCTCCCAAAACCTCGCAGCGTCTCGCACCTTCGCGAACATTATGTTACGTAGCTTCTCCACGCAAACATAGGGCTGAGGGCTCTTATTTCAAGGCCGAAAGCAAGATCGGGTGTGCTTCGTGTTCAGGCCGAGCGCCCCTCCATTTCTTTGCAGGTGAAGCAGGAGGAGCAGGAGGAGAGACGGGAGCCGTCCTTCCTTGCCGAGAGCAGCAGTGCTGGCCAGGTCTCAGCCTTGGACAGACCTGGAAGCAAGCTGATAACTGCATGATCCCCTTTGTCAAGGCACGGGACCACAAGGCCGCGGGCCCTTCATCCAAGCATTTGCAGCCGCCAACGAAGGCCAGGCAACCAGGCTCCGTCTTCTGCTTGGCATCCCGGCTTTCTTTCTGGCAAAGGCGAGGCGTCCTCCATCAGCAACACCCAGAGCGGAGGGCCCAGGCGCGGGTGGCACCATTCCAGTGCAGGAAATCGCAAGATGCACTTGCTCTTCATCCGCTTGCACAGGCAGCGCGGGCCCTCCGCTCATGTCAGAGGACGCGACCTCCGAGGAGCGCGCGGAGGCCACGGAGGCGGCAGAATTGGAGCCAGCAACGGGCCGACGAGACACTAGGGAGCAGACAGAAAGCTTTGAGTATTGCTGCTTCGGCACTATCTTCTTTGTTCTTTACTGCTGCCAGTGCTGCTTGTGCTGGCACCTGGCGACCCTCACGACCGTCTTGCGCAGGGTGGGCCCGCACAAGTGCGTTTCTTCATTGGCTGCATGATGCTGCATGTTTCGCGAAGGAGTCACCGTGTGGTGAGAACAAGTGGGGCGAGGGTTGCCGGAAAGCCATCGCTTTCCCCTGTTTCCAGGATCCTCTTTACAACTTATGTGGGCAAACAAGTCTATCAGAGCAGAAAAATTGGCGGATCTTGAGCGGCGGCAAGGTGTTGTCATGCCTGTCAGGGCAGAGCAGCTGAAAGCAAGGCATGAACATCGGGTGTGGGGCGATCACAGGCTTGGGACAGGAGCAAAGGACTCCAAAGCAGGGCTCCGCACGGTGAATACGGCGGGCCAAAGCTCCTCTCAGTGTAAGTCTGTTGTTTGGCGTTAACTATATTAACTGAATTTCGTACACTTGAGAGTCAAGCCGCCGTCGCCCCAAGGCCAGTGCCTCCAGTGCCGTGTCGCAGACGAGCACACTCTGCAGTGCGCGGCGTGCAGACAGCATCGCCGGCTCCATGACTTTCTCGGTATCTACTAGTGGCTCGGATCATCTCGTATCTGCTGGGGCTAGGTTTTGGTATGGCGCGTTTTCTGTTCTGGAGCCTGGGTAATTGCAAATGCTGGGGTAGGAGGGAATAGTAGGGCAGAAGAAGAAGACGTAGTAGTAGCAGCAGCTCCCCTAGACCAAGAGCCGTGAAAGGTTTGTAAACTGGAGAGTGGAGGGGCTTGGAAGACGAGGAAAAGTTGTGGTGGTGTTGGTGCAGCAGTCGAAACACTAGCAGCAGGAGCAGCAGAAGCAATAGCAGCAGCAGTAACAGTAGCAGTAGCAGTACAGCAGCAGCAGCAGCAGCAGCAGCAGCAGCAGCAGGAACAGGAGCAGGAGCAGGAGCAGGAGCAGGAGCAGGAGCAGGAGCAGGAGCACGAGCACGAGCACGAGCAGGAGCAGTAGCCGTAGCAGTGGCGGCAGTGGCAGTGGCAGTGGCAGCGGCAGCGGCAGCGGCAGGAGCAGTAACAGTAGCAGCAGCGGTTGTTGTTCTTGTTGTTGCTGCTGCTGCTGTTGTTTTTGCTGCTGCTGCTGGTGTTGTTGTTTTGTTTGTTTGTTTGTTTGTTTGTTTGCTTGTTTGCTTGTTTGCTTGTTTGCTTGTCTGTTTGTTTGTTTGTTTGTTTCAGACCCTACTATCCCGTGCCAGGGGGAGGGGGTGAACTGTCCCAGATAAGGCCAGGCGGGCCAGGGTAAGGGAGTGGGGGAACACCTGTGGTGACCTTGACCGCTTGGGCTGGGGCGGAGGCGCTGAACTACAAGCATTGTCTTCAAGCGTACATTTTGTTCAAGCTTCGCCTGCATTCACATGCCCGCCTGTCAGCTCCGATCGCAGTCTGACCCTGAGGAGGTCGCCGAAGATCTGCACCTCAGCTCAAGCGACGTGCGACCGGCCATGTGCCTCCCTGACAAAACCGCTGAGGTTTTGAATCCTGCAGCCGTCATCCAAGACTTGGAGGCTTCAGAGGAGTACGAGTACGCACGGCTCTTCCGTGTTTTATTGGAGATTCAGCGGACTGGCGATCCCGATTCTAGCTGCCTGAGAGATTTTCTGGCGGAGCGGGCCTTACACCGAACAATCCATGCGTGTCTTCCGTGTCCGAGACTCAGGAAGGCCCCCAGATTCCTTTGCTTCCGCGCCAAGGAAAACTGTGAAGTCACCGACCTGGTGCTCGATGCCTTGCCCTTCCTCCAAAAGGCCAGGCCTTGGGCTTGGCTTGGGCTGGGACTAGGCATCTCAGCGCCATGCAGGGAGCTTACCACTTTTCGGCCTTCCGTCGACACGGCAGGTTGAAGGAGGGGAGATCGTGCTGCCTGCGAGCGCGGACATGCGAACGGATCCGACCTTCCGAGAGTTCCTCCAGACGATGAGGGAGAGGTGTGTCTCCAATGCAACTCTTTTAAGGATCTTCACGCCGCTTGTCGGCAGAATGAGAAGCCAGGGCTTTTTGCTGGATTCTTTGCTAGTCGGTCTAAGACCGATCCCGTTCCAGGAAGCTGGGCCAGCGCGGCTCGGCACCCACAGAGGCCTGTCGCGCTGAAGCCCAGAGGCCGGCGCCGTCGCTTGTGAGTGCGGTTTGCTGAGGGTTTGCGCTGCAGAGCACTTGTGGCCTCCCTTGGAGACTCGGTTCCGAGCAGGTTCTGCCTTGACCGCTTCGATGCGAACCTTCGTCAGAGCGAATGGGAGCAGATGCTCCAAGCTGCCTTCGACGGTCCGGCGGCCTTGTTTCGTCTGTTTCGCATTGGTCCCTGTCGCCCAGACTCAGAGGATGCCAGAAGCTGATTCGGAGGTGCTGGCGAGGAGCTGACCCCAGGCCAATGGATGCAAAGCTGTCGATGGGCTGCCCGAGCTGCCAGGCCCCTGTTTGTCATGCAGCTGGTTCGTCGGACTTATATACTGAGACGAAGGAAGCCATAACTAAGCATACAGCTTCTAAGCTAGTCTGGCACAATGATTGGCTGGTTACAACAAGTTGTTGGTCGAAGTTAGTTGACGACAAAGCCTCGCGTTCAACTCTTGCACTCTCTTGTAGCGTCGGCAGTTTTGTGTCGCTGCAGCCTCTTCGCCGGGAGGCTCATCATGACGCTGCGGCTGACGTAGCCGAAGTCGCTGAATCGGGCAGTGGCGGGAGCAGCTCCACGCCGCAGATGATGCATATTAATGCATGATGTGGGGGACGAGGCGGTTGAAGGATCAGCCAGAGCCTGTCCTTCTGTAGCAGCCACTGGCTGTTAGGATGGCATGAGGTCGACCGAAGCTGCCGACTTGCGAGCTGCCTATACGGTGTAGGGATACCCTTAGGTGACATGAGGCTTCTTTTGCCTTGGTGTAGCATTGTGCCAGGTGCCTGAGCCTAGTCACCTTGTCATCCTTCGCGACCCGAGAATCCGAAGACAGGCAAGTCACAAGCGCAGCAAGGTTTTGCTGATACTTGTACCCATCAATGACAAGATATCAAGGAGCTGTGAGGATTTCCGGGTTGTCGTGCACGTTGTAGCTCCAGCCCGAATGGTTTCACCGACGACAACCTCGGGCAGGCGGCACACACTCAAAGAGCGACTTTTGGAAGAATTGTAGGACTTGCGAAGGGCGTCCGCCTGCCCCGTGCCGTAGCAAGGCCTAAGGTCTGCTACCGTCGGACGTCAGTTGTTGACGGGTTGAAAGAGCGGTCGTGGTTGCGCGACCACGTGCTTAGTATGTGGTCTGGACACGCCGGTGTCGCACAAGCCTTTCTGCAGACGTTAGAGGTCCTCAGAGCCGTTGCAGATTCCATGGGCCTGTGCGTGACAGGCCGGGGGTGGCTCCAAGCGTCTCATGACTGCCTTGGCCTCAAATCCTGCATAGCTTCCGTCTGATCAGGCAGTGAGAGAGTCAACAAAAAAGCATTTGCTTGCGGGTGCAGCTTGGCAAGGTTGAAAGCTTCACGAAGGCGCTTTCCGACGTGCCCTGTCAGCGATAACCCAGCCACGTCCGTCAACCAGACCTCTTAGCTGTCGCAGCGTTTGCGAGGCTCTGAAGCGACCAATGTCTTGATGCTTTCAACTTCTCGCGCTGCTCAGGTAGCAGCACAGTGCATGGCTCCTGAGGATGTCTTGCCGGCGCGTTTGTCGATATCTGCAGCACGGGGCCTGTCATTGTCGGGTTTAGCTGTTTAGCCTACGAGCCTGTGCAACGGGAAAGGGACCTCATGACGCAAATGCAGCTTAATGGGTTTCAGAAAATGGGGGCAGCGCTGGTGCTCGCTGGTGGGAGCGAGGGTTGAGTTGATGACAGCTTACACACCAGGTATCTGGTGGCTTGGAGAACTTCTGTCGGCGCGCCGGATCCCTACCCAGTTCCCAAGACGTGTGCAGGTGTGCGGTAAAGCTGTCGAGCCTCGTGCATAGCACACCTTTCGGCTAAACGGGAGAATTTGCGCTACAGGTCATCGTGCCCCTCAACGGAGTGCTTCTCAGAAGTCGGAGTGAGGAGAAGCGAGATTCTGCCGCGCTTTTTGCTGTCGGTCCGCCACTTCGCAGTCTGTCCAGGAGCTGGTGTGTGCACTTGACGTCCTTGACAAGACAGAGGTGAAGAGGCAGGTCAACTGTTGGCAACGGAGGTTGTGTGCAATGTGTGCCGCATTGTGCCGCAGTCAACTCCTTGGTAGATTGCATGGTGACTTTCATTGATGCTACTTCGGAACGGTTGCGCAACTCATATGTAGACGTTCAGCTGCTGCATGTCACGCTAGCCAGCCGCGTGCTGAAAGGTTGATGACCGACTGCAGCACTGGTCTGAACAAGGCCGATAACTACACCATGCAGTCGCATCAGGAAAGTAGAGGGCAAGTCGCTGCAATGCTCTAAACTCCACGAAATCTGTTTTGGAAATCGGCGGAAGACGAACTGCTGGGCAAACCCCGCAAGAGACACGCAAAAAACTCATCAGACCGAAAATCCCGCCAAGCCTGACATCTGCAGCTCTTCGCCTGCTATGCCACGGAGCCCACGGCACGGAGGCGCGTGCATCGCCCGAAGAGCGACGCTGTGGAACAGAATGGAACAGACCTGAAGAGTAGGGCTAGCTTCTGCATCCGAAGCGGCCATGCGGCCGACAGGCCACATTGGAACTCCGACTCCGTGACGAGGTCGTTCAGCGCTTTCCGGTCCATCGCGTGCATATGTGCAGCATGTTCGAACAGGTTCGCCATTGACTTCGACTTCCTCGCCGAGGCGCACCCCCACTTCGCTGGTAAGTTACAAGGCAGATCCGACATGCGCGGCCGGAGGTGAGCAACCTCCCCTTGCAGCGCATGTTCCAGGCCAGGCCCAGCTGAGCCGGGAGATTCGGAGTTTGAGAGATCTCTCTTGGAGCAAAAGGATGCCTGCCAGCACACGAGCAACTTTCGAGCGGCTTGGGCCTTGGGGCTTTCGTGCCTTCGTGAGAGACCCATCTTGTTCGACCCAAGGCCGAGGAGAAGCTGCTGGTGGAAGGTTTCCCGCTCTTCCTCCTCATGTTGGCAAACAAGACCCACACGAGCCAGGCAAGATTGGGACTGCTCTTTGCATCGACTTGTTGCGCAGATGCTTGCGGTTCACGCTTGGCCTTCTCCTCGTCTGGCCATTCCATGCTGAATGCCAGCATCTATAAGGGGTGACGCCAGCCAAAGCCCGGCTTCCAGGAGCCAGACGTGAAGGGAAGGCTTGGGATCGATGCTGACATGGAGAACAAGTTCTAGTTCCAGAATCTCAATGGAAGCTGCGTCCACGGTGTTTTGGGGGGGTTGCCAGCAAAGACCTTTACAAAGAACGCGCTGAGTCCTTTCCTTTCAGAGATCGCTGCCGAAACGTTGCGCCGCCATGCCCAGCACTCGCCAACTTCATCGCATGGAGGAGCCTGCATTGTCTGGCGCGCACAAACTTGCGCAACTGCCGTGCCCACAAATCATGTGCAAATCGCAATCACTTGCAGCACACAAGATCACACGAGCCGAACCGTCAATTCTCGAAGACCCCGACTCGTAGCGTCTCTGCTTGCCAGGTTTGCAACGCCCCCGAGGAGAGAGCTACTCACTCGGTGCTCGGGGGGTTAAACGTCGTAATTCCGATGCCGGGCGAGGCTGTCTGCATCGGACCTGCCGGGTTTTCTAAGACTTTAAGAGTCCCAGATTCAGATATGCAAGGTTCCGATTCTCTTCCAGCGCATCAACGCGATTGCTTGCCCGGGGCCCCGGCATCACTTTAGCCTGCAGGGCTAGATCCCATGAAAGCATAGGGTGAATCAAAGCTCAGGGCAGTTTCAAGGATCGACTCGGAAAAACACCGCAGCAGGCACGGCCACACAGGCCCCGCGCTTCGGTTTGGCCAAGGAGCAGCTGCTGCCCCTGCTCGGGGCCCTAGAGCCCTGCAGGCTTCGGCGCTTTATGCACCGCTTGCCTCCGGGTCGGCTTAGATTGGATGTCTGTGTTGTGTCTCGGCTTGCGAAGCGAAGGTCTCGGGAGATGCCAGGCCCCCGGCGGAGCTTCTCTGCCACGCCGGGTCGCTCGGACAGGCGAGGGACATGTCGTTTCGTGGCCGAGCTACCGGTAGCAAAAGCGTCATCTGCTGGTGGTGCAAGTCAAGGTTGCCACCGGGGTTGCATTTTGGGTCTTTCGAAGCAGCCGCCAGAAATTCACGGAAGTGGCTGCCTCCACAGACAATTCCATAGGACCCTAATTTGATCAGGGTGACCGGTTGGATGCTAAGCCTCACATCAATAAGAGAGGGCGTCGCAGCGGTTCCGCCAGTCTTAAGAGAACTCAGATGACCGCCTTGGAAGGCTGGAAGGCAGCCGACGTGCAGAGGAGACTGGCTTGTCGTGGGACGAGCTCCTGGTCCCTGAGACCTTCGAGTCCTTCTGAGGCTCTGCACTCGGGGTCCTTTCGTGCTACCGTCGGGTAGGTGCTTGATTCGGCCACTAAGCAATGGACCCTGTACCTCGACTATCATCCGCGGGCTTTCTGACACTTGATGAATTCTGCTTGAGTCTTGTAGAGAAAGTGTGGGGCTTGTTTGATGTGTGTTTTTTGTACCTAGGTATGCCGCATTCCATGCCGTGCGGAAGACTTATCGTGTTTCTTTCTCGTCCAGTTTGGCTGATAGGGTTTGCTCCTGCCTCAAGTCGAAATCTGAACCCACTGCTAGTCGTTGGTTTCGAGAACCGGCACGCCAAGCGCGCCGTCTGTAGCTCAATCTCGGGGCAGAGGCTGCTTGAGGTCCATTCTGCGTGCGCGGTCTTGCTGGAAATCTGCACGGCTTTTAGTCTCTTGCCTATTGTCGAACTCTTTGGTTGGTTCCATCCGTGGCGAAGAAGGATCGGCGAGAGCATCTGCCGTGCTAATGCAACCATTTTCTCGCAGAGAGTGTCGTTCGTTCTGGTACCTTTATTACCAGATACGTTTTCACGGATGACGCAATCGAGAACAAGATACCGGAGAGAAATGCCTTTTGTAATATAATATTGAAGAATACAGAGAAATATATGTTTGTACACATACACATATATTCCTATTTTATTATTATAATTATCTTATCAAATTTTTAGATGCTTTGATTTATTTGATTATATATATATACATATCGTAGATTATGATGGTAATATTCATATGATATCTTTAAACAATTTCCAAAATATTGATGAAACATACTCTTTTTCTATTGGAGTTATTTAGGAGAGAAGATATAAATTTTAAGAAAATTTTGAAATTTTCAATAGATTAACAAGAATTAAAAATATTTTGTATTTTTTTGATTATGATTTTCAATTCTTGATGAAAATATTTTTCTGTAGGCATATATTCGCTTATATTTAGTTCGAAATAGATTATATTAGTATTTTGTAATTTTTATAGAAATTTTTAGACTTATATTCGATATAGAATATAGTAATTATGTTTTCACTAGAATTAGAATTAATGTTCATATTATAAATCGAAATAAAAAATATTTTGTTATGAAATTCTATTTAAAATTTTAGCGAAAAAGATATTAGAAGTTTGTTCTGAACTTATGTTTATAGAAATTTTCATTAAATATATATTTCAAAAAATTGAATTTGTATATATATATATAATATTTTAATTTCGAGAATTTATGAGTTAAATTTGCACGAGTTCGACATTAAATTTGCATCAATTCGATATATATTTATATACATATATATATGTATATGTATATGTATATGTATATGTATATGTATATGTATATGTATATGTATATGTATATGTATATGTATATGTATATGTATATGTATATTCTCCAATAAAACGGTGTCGTGCTGGTCGCCTCCGTTTTTTTGTGCGCGCCCCTGGCCCCTGTAACCTCGTCCTTTGGCGCGTTTCCTTTTGAAAGCCTCTTGCGTGCTTGTCTCGCGGTACTAGAATTTCGGAAATTTTAGTACCGGGAGCCTTTTTACCGGTACTAAAATTTCCGAGATTTTGGTAGCTTTAGGAAATCTCGCGGTATGAAAATTTCGGCAATTTTGGTAGCTTGAGGGGGACAAGCTCCCGGTAATAAAATGTCCGAAGGCATGCTCGCGGTCATACAATTTCCGAAATTTTTGGGGCGTGCTCGCGGTAATAAAATTTCCGAAGTTCTAGTACCGGGAGCATGTCCTAAGTCA